TTGGGAGACCGCCTAGACGGCGCGGCCTCATACTTTTAATTGATTGATTGATTGATGCACGAATGGACGCCAACTTATAACTCAATTATGTCCCATACATAACTAACATATAGCAGTTTTAAGCATTTTATAACACGATAACTTTGATAAACAATTGAAAGTGCATCATATTTCATAAGTAAAAAATACAATTGAAAAGGGCAAACGGGGAATGGAGAAAGGCTCACGGCCCACTTAGTTCTATTAACGTTACTGCCTTACTGGGCCTATTTGGGTAGGGGGAAATAAAGAGATGGAAAAAATAGTTGATTCGTTGTCTTTACCTCTATCGATCTCTCGGATGTTTTGGGTCTCTAGCCCTTCCTTTCCTTTCTCAATTGCCAGTCTCACTGTCAAAAATTCCTGGGAGGGCTCCACAGACGTGGCCACGGTGTGTGTGTGTGGGGTGGTTTGAGCCCCCACCCAGCCCCGGTGGCATGCAGTACATCTCTATATATATCTATATAATATGCAGCGGCGATCATGACCTGGACATGACGTACGTGGGCACCCAAGAGTGGATCAGAACCATCGGCTACCCCATCGTCAGCGACTGGAGACCATGGTTCGCCAACCGACAGGTCGCAGGGTAAGTTACTTGGTGCTTGTTGGTTGCTTCAGTTCAGCGCCCATTTCAGCTCTCCCCAGTTGAGTTCGCTGCATTGCCCGTCCTTATGATTTCTCATTTCTGTATGTACGTGCCGTAGGTTCACAAGGACTTACGCCCACAACCTCACTTTCGCCACTGTAAAGGTTCAGATGAATTAAACATGCTTGCATCTATACTACTAGTATGTTTTAGGAATAATTACCAATTTATCTATATATTCTCATAAAAACAAACGAACGAACAAAAAACAGGGAGGAAGGCACACAGCTCCGGAGTACAGGCCGAAAGAGTGCCAGGCCATGTTGGATCGATGGACATCAGCAGCAGGTCAACTCTGATGAATTTGGTGACCACCAAATTAACAAAGTATACTACACTAGTAGTTGGTGTCTTTCCATCTTATCGTCGACTTACTCATATACTCCCTTCATTCTAAATTATAAGACGTTTTGGTTTTTTTTTAGATTCGTAACTTATGTTGTGCATCTAGATATATGTTATGTCTAGATTCATAGTAAAAACTATGTATAAATGTAAAAATGTCAAAACGTCTTATAATTTGGGACGGAGTGAGTATGTAATAAGAAATATAAGACAACCTTTAATTCATATAGGGAGAGGCAGCTTGTACTTGGCTAGAAGGAGCCTAGGACAAATATATGCCAGTTTCGTGTGTGTGTGTGTATGTCTCACGCATGTGGAACATTCAATAACCAATTGGGGATCGGATCGGATCGGATCGGATTGGGATAAAAAGGGTAGGTTACGGTGGACACAGGACACATGATGACAGGACCGACCGCTCGAGCAGGCCCAGTAAAACCCAATGATCGAGCAGGCCCAGTATAGGAACAACAACGAGAAAGAATTAAAAGCCCATGTGATGTCAATCTTGAGAAGCACACACGAGCACTTGTTCCTAGTACTCCCTCTAATTTTACATGTCATATTAGTTTTGTCCTAAGTCAAGCATTTATATCTTTAACCATCGATTTTAAATTTCTATATCTTTGACCATCTGATAGATGCTCAATAGTATACATGTTAGGACGATGTGACTAATGAGATTCTCCAACATAACGTCGGCTTTGAGCGGCCAAAACTTTTTGCAACAATTGATTAATAGGAAGAAACTTAAAGTGCTCAAGCTTTTTTTTTAATTAGAGTGCAAGCCAACAAAAGCCAAATCAGTAAGATCTTGTTCAGAAATTATCAAATTAAAACATCGGTTTTTAATTTCTCTCAATCTTCTAACACGATCAAGGACAATCTCGTCATGCTCTTGCTTAACCGATGTCAAATTAGACAATTTAAGCTCACCGGTTCTATTAAAAAATGTTCACGAAACTTCTTCTAATAATTGTGTCCAAGAACCAATAGAGCAAAATTGCAATGAAGAGTACCAGTAAGAGGTAACGAAAAATTCTGAATGCTCATATGTTCCATGGTACCAGCCTCACCCAATTGAGCAAGAAACATGCTAATATGCTCCCTTATTTTATTATCTTCGCCACTGAATCTATAAAAGTTGGGTACTTTCCAACCATTAGGAGCCTTCATGTAATGAAAATATAAAGGACATGGCTTAGTATAACTAGCGGATGCCTTAAAATGTACACCCATAGTTTCTTCTAAAGATTTATGAAAATTTTCTTTAAATTAACTTAAAGCTTCATTCCATGGGGGCCGAATTATTGCCTATTTGCGAAGTATTTGCATATGCATTAGCTTGTTAACTCCTAAAAGTTGTCTTAGGGGGATCTGGCAACACCGTGTTATGAGAAAATGAAACATGTGCTGCTAAGTTGCTATTGGCTCGCATGGTATAAACTGATAGTTATGCGAAGGTAACCATTCGTAAAGTAGCACAAACCTCCCCCCTAAATTGGCCCTATCGGTTTCAGTTGCTGAATAAGCCAATGTGGGTTGGTTAGCCGATGCACAACTTGTTTGCCCCTAGAAAAAGCTGAATAACATCCCATATCGAGGTTGGCTAGCAATTGGGGCCGATCTGCTAAAAGATGCATCTATAGGAAAAACGGGAATTTTATATTTCTTTTCCTCCCTTTTATTATTATCATCCATAAATTTACTAAGATTTTCATGCATACGGATCTCAAAAAACTTGGCATGGTTAGCAATCATCGCAACACAATCATCATGTGTAATGCCAGGACTATGGGGAGGTTGATCAGTTTTTACCTCACATATAGGTGAAGCAGAAAGAGGATTGAAGTTGACATCTTGGATCTTCTTGACACCTCCCCACCGATCCACCTCGAAGCAAATTAGAATTGTGTAGGAGAGCTCCCGCTAGCTCGAAACATTAGTAATATCTTGTGTAGGTTCATTTATAAGGTGCTTGTGATATAGATAGAGGGGTGTAGTCTTGGATAGTTTCAATTTCGCATTAGTTTTGACCAGCCTTAGTGATTATAGATTTAAAAAGACTATTCACCCCCTCTAGCTCACCATCTCGACCTAACACCCGTAGAGGGTAATAACAACAACAATCATCTTGATGATGCCTCCGTTCGTAGCCATGGTAGAACTCGATGGTCTAGAGGACCTCGTGTTAGACTTCAAAAGTATGACAACCTCCTAGCTCATGGTCACGGTCTCATCCTGAAAGGACCTTGATGTCGCCTAGAGGGGGATGAATAGGCCTGTTTAAAATAAACTCGCAGCGGAAGTTAAAATCTAGGTGCGGCACTGCCTCACAAAAGTGTGGCACTGCCGCGCCTGCAGACAAGCTCGAACTACAATTCAAAAAACTGCCTAAGGAAAAGTAGATCAAGCAAATTACTGATGTTCCTGGGGTAGTGTAGAGCCTATTCCACCACCTGAATGTTGGCGGAAGTGCACGAGCAAGTAGATCAGGACCAAACCCTAGAATCACCATAAATACAAGTATAGCAATGCAAATCATAAGAACACAAGTGAGACACTGATTTATCTCGTGGTTTAGCTCGCCACTAAGGCTTGCCTATGTCCATGTTGTTGAGGTTGCCACAAAGGCTTTGGGTGTCTTTCAACCCTTTTCTCGTTCTCAAGCCAAGAGAATGAACTCTTGAGATGAGGGGTGATTTCACTAGCTGTTTATGGTGATTACAAACCTCCCGAGGCTGCCACATAAGTTGGCAAGCTCTACAGGCGATGCTCTAGCCGGCTAGGAGCAAAGCTCCGAGAGTAATAAACACAACAACCAACCAAAACGTGAACCAAGTGCTCTAGGAGATGAAGAACAGTTGGGGCTGCTCTCTAATGCAGTTTGGAGGGTCAAACTCTCTTGGATTTGGAAGGGAATCAAAGGGAGAACAGTTGGTATGATTCTTCTCCATTGAGGATGAAGCCGGATACTCTTTCCATTATATAAAAAAATATAGTTTTTGAGGGTGTGGCCGCACCCAGTCTCAAACCAAAAATCTACTATTATCCTCAAATTTTCACTATATATTTCAGCTAGTAGCTATACAATTAATCAATTATATAGTATTATCCCCTTATCCCCCTAATTTCCTCTATAAGTGAAACTTCCGTAGTTCAATCAAGTTTTTGAAAAAGTACACCAGTTTGTACGTATCAAATTAGTTAGTCTCAATAGTGTACTTATTGGATATCATAGCTGTTAATATAATTTTATAGAAACTTAGTCAAAGCAAGGGAAATTTTGACTTGCGGTGAAACTATAATGAGCCACATTTTGAGGAGACAGTGTACATTAACATATATATATATATATATTTCAAAGCAAACCCAAAAGTCACTTTGCTCTCCTACAACACCTGTAGTAGTAGTAGCACATGGAAAGTTTGTAAGGCGTTTCAGATTGAGAATTCTGGTGTCCATTCATCTAGTAAAAGCACAAAAAACGCTCACATCATCGAACTATATATATCTTGGCACGTTGGGCATGACAAAACAAAACAATGGGCTATTATCGCCAGACATATCAAATCATTCTACTGGTGCTCTATCTGCGCGAAGTTTTTCCCGCCCGGCGGCGAAACGTCAAACGTAGCACCGCCGCCGTCCACCAACGAATGGCATGTTCGCTCGGCGACAAGTCATGGCTGTTGAATGGGCCTTGTTTAGATTGGGATTAGAAATTAGTATTTGGTACTATAGCATTTTTATTTGTATTTGATAATTATTGTTCAATCATGACCTAACTAGGCTCAAAAAATTCGTCTCGTAATTTACAATAAAACTGTGTAATTAATTATTTTTTTATCTACATTTAATACTATATATGTGTTAAAGATTTGATGTGATGAAAAAGATTGAAAAAACTTACATTCTAAACAAGGCTAGTATGACTTATATGACTGAAGCAGCACGATGAGCCGCAATGGCCCCCAGAAAAATCCCATCCGCTGACGCCACGCCCGGCTCACGATTTGACCGGAAGACACGGGAGCACCTCAAGGTTGCGCCAGGGTGCCGCCCCGAGAACACAGGCTCGCGCCGGCGGCAGCCACCAGCACAGGTTCGCTGTCCTCCGGCGCGTCGTCTTGCGCACGATGGCAGTTCCGCAGCCCCACGCTTCCGCTTTCTCTCCAGAAAATTACCATTTTTATATATGATGACATTGAAAGATGCTGCTTCCGTATATGATCCTGTAAATTTTTTTCTTCACTTTAAATGACACTGACTTCATCTTTTATGCCACATTTAACACTGCCATGTGTTCTGTCTTCTGTCCATGGATTCTGTTTTTTTTTTTTTGGCCCCTTTGATTGCGGGTAAAATTCTTGTTTCCCGTGTTTTTCCAACGAAACTAAATTGATTCCTGTAAAATTTCTATAGAAAATCTTAGAACACAAAGTGAGGCTCTCCTACTAAAATTCTTACACAGTTCATGAATCGTGAAGATATTCCTTGGGTCAACCTTATCTGGGAAAGATACTATCAAGATGGCAAGCTTCCTAGAGCTACCATCAGAGGGTCATTCCGGTGGAGGGACATTACAAAGCTTTTGGATAGCTTCAAAGGAATGGCTTTGATCACTGTCTCAGATGGAAGGACCTGTCTCCTCTGGCAAGATCTTTGGAATGGCAGGGTCCCTCAGTTTACTTACCCAGAACTCTTTTCCTTTGCAAAGAAGAAGAACATAACTCTGGCAGATGCTAAGTCAAGCAATGGCATCTCTACCCTGTTTCATCTCCCCCTGTCAGAGGAAGCTTACTCCCAGTTTTTACAGCTGCAGAACTCCCTAGATGAAGTACAACTGAATGAAAATCTGGACAGATGGGCTTATATTTGGGGATCTAACCTCTTTTCATCTGCTAAAGCTTACAAACAGCTGAGTTGAACAAGCGTGGCTCATCCCATTTATCGATGGTTGTGGAACAGCTCTTGTCAGAATAAGCATAGGATTTTCTTTTGGTTACTGATTAAGGATAGGATAAGCACAAGAGGCCTACTAAGAAGAAGATCGATGGAGCTAGAGGATTACAGTTGTGTGCTTTGTGATGGGGCAAATAGAGGAGACATTGGAACACCTCTTTCTTTACTGCCCTTTTGCAGCTGAATGTTGGAGCTATCTAAATCTTGGGATCACTCAAACTGATGATCTGATGGAAATTATTCAACAACTGAAGATACAACTTAACCAACCCTTTTTCATGGAAGTCATAATCCTCTAATGCTGGGCAATTTGGATGACTAGGAACAACAAGATCTTCAAGAATACCCCTGCTTCGGTTCAAGGCTGCAAAGTGCAAACAACTCTTTTGGCCCTGTTCGCGTGCCCTTAAACCCGGCTTGATCCGCTTATTTTTTTCATCCGGAACAGTGTTTTTCTCTCATAAATTCCTCCAGTATTCCTCCAAACCATCCAGATTCCTCCAAAATTCAGACAAGCGAACGTCTGGAACTAGTGGTTTAATCCACAGAATCAAGAGAAAATACTTATTCAGTTTTCAAGAATGGAAAGCAAGATTCTTGAGAGTTAATTTGGTGCCAGCCTCTATCCTTCTTTTCCTCTCCTTTCTAGTTCCCTAGGCCTCTTCTATAGCTCAATCTTTAGCTTTTCAACAGCCCTTGCTATCCCTTTGTTTTTGTATTCTGTGCTTCATTTCATTTTCAATATATTTCAGTAGGGGCCTAAAAACCCCTCCTATTTCTTAAAAAAAATGCTATAAAATTTCTGTGAAATTCCTACGTTCCAAAAGGCATTTATATGTGTTCGATACCTGATGACCAGTACAAGTTCTGGCTACTTAGTTAAGCGACGCTTACAGACTCTGCCTCAAGGGGCTACACACAGGAAAAAAAATCGGCGAAATTTGCGAAATTCACTTCTTTCGACCCGGGGCGAAATTGGCCCATTTGGATTTGAAAATCTCGGCCCATTTAAAACAGACCCGGTCCCTATCGATACAGCAGCCCAAGCCCATTCTACTGCTAACCCTAACTCCCCCAAATATGCAATCGGCAGCCTAGGGTTTCATTTTTCCTTCTCCTCGTTCACTTTGGCGGCGGCGGCTTGGTCCGTCTTGACGGGCGCCCAGCGTGTGTGGCGCCCAAATGAGGTGCCCATCCCCAGCGGCCAAGTGGGCTCAATAGGGTAGCAGAGAGCACACATGTTGTGTGTGGCAAAGCGAGAATCATGGGGTGGCAGTCTGAAGCTCGGCTGCGAGACAATGACGCTTAGGTGGAGAGAGCGGGGGCGGGGAGCAAGGCGGCACTCGAGACTCGATTCGGCGGCGGCGCTCAAGATGTCATCATCGCTTCCTCCTCCTACAAGGTATGCCATCCCGAGATAATGTCGTTCAGAATTTCAGATCCCAAAAAGCAGTGATTAGAAATTGTGGATTGTGGAACCATGTCTGATTTGGTTAATTTTGATTGTGTATTCGACTCTATTCCCATGAAACAAGTAAGATAGGAGTTGTATTTTTCACTCGATTGCAAAAGCATGTCTCGATCTAGGTAATGTATGCACAATGCATGGTAGTAGTATGATCCTGATGCTCTGTTCCATTTCTGAGGAAAATAAGTTCAATCTATTAAGGTGGCAGTTTGATCCTTGATGCTCTGCTCAATCTCTCTCGAGGAAAATGTCATCCTATTGTATGCCAAATTTAGCTAATGTGTACTTTAAAAATGTAAATTTTCAAGTGGAGAGGTACAAGCAATTCTAGCAGAGTGGAGCTATTTCTCCAAAGAAGTGCTTATTGATGTGGATCTGACACCCCTCCTCGCCGCCATCACGTAAAATTTCATTTGAAAATTTGTATTAGTAGTTGCATATTATTTACTGAAGCCAATGTCTTTGAATGGTCTTTTGTGCAGGTCAAGTAAAAGATAACATATTCAATGTGTGGAATTATGGTTTTAGTGTTGGACAAGGATTTAGATATGGGTTTTGTGGCGCTACCAAGAGATCTGGAGGTGCAACGAGACTAACACAGCATCTAGCTAGGGTGCCAGGTGATGTCGCTTTTTGCAAGAAGGTGCCAAGTGATGTGAAGCATGCTATGTGGAGAAAGCATAAAGAATCTAAGGATAGGAAGAAAGATTTAAAGAGGACCAAAAAGAGGTTGGAAAATACTCTTGTGAGTGAGATGGGTGGAAAAGGAAGTATTTATGTGGCAAGCGATGAGGAGGAGTAGACGCGCTTGTTAATGGCATTATCAAGACAAGATAATGATTTGCAGCAAGAAGTGAATATGAGGCAGGCCTCATATGAGCATGGATCTGGTAGTTCATCTGCCCCAGCAGCTAGTAGCGGATCATGCAGGAGACCTCCTACTGTACAGCCAAGGATTGACTCATTTGTTACATCTTCTAGTTCTGTCCAACCTAGGATTGACACCACCTTGAAGGAAGGAGTGGTGGAAAAACTTGCACAAGCTTGGTCCAAATGGTTTCATGCAAATGACATTGCAGGGGTAAAAGCTAATTGTCCTTATTTTCGAGCAGCAATGAGGTTGACTCAAGAGTTAGGAACAACAAGTAGGTTGTTCAGTGGGAGTGACATCGATGGCCCATATTTGGATGCTAACTATAAAAGCATTGAAGAGGCTGTTGAGGTCTTTAAAAGGGATTGGAAGAAATATGGTGTTACAATCATGTGGGACTCATGGACGGGTACGACAAGCATGAGTATTATCAACTTCATGGTGTATTGCCATGGGCACATATTCTTCCATAAGGCTATCAATGCAAGTGAGCACATCCAAAATGCAGGTAATTTATGTCGTTTTGTATGTCTTGCAGATTATCTTTCATGATTCTTATGTGCTCTAATTTTTGTGTCTTTGCATGTCTTGCAGAATATTTGTATACACACATTAAGAAAGTGGTAGATGACATTGGCCCTGAGAATATTGTGCAGCTTGTCACTGATAATGGGGCAAATTACAAGAAAGCATGTGCCAAGCTTATTGACGAGTACCCCGGTATTGTTTGGCAGCCATGTGCCGCTCATACAATCAACCTAATGTTGAAGGATATTGGTAAATTCTCTGAGGTTGATGATATTGTCTCCAGTGCCAAAAAATGTACCAATTTCCTACATAGCCACAATAATTTTGCATAATGAGATGAAAAAAGAAGGATTGGAGGGAGATAGTTCGATGGAATGCAACCAGATTTTGAACTGTCTTCATGTTCCTCCAGAGTTTGTGGGATATGAAAGATAAATTCCGACAGTGGATGGTCTCTGATGAGTGGAGGAACAGTGCTTGGAACAATGAGCTTGGCTTCAAGTATGTTGATAGCTGTATGACAAGTTCTCACTGGTGGGATGATGTCAAGGTTGTCTTAGATACAATTGGCCCACTCTATTCAGTACTTCGCTATGTGGATGGAGATGAGGGGACGATTCTTTGGAATAATGCCAAGATTGTTGAGTGCCATTAGGGAGATGGAGGTCTATTTAGGTGAGGGACACATAGATGCAAATGAGATACATGAGAGTGATTAAGGAGAGGGTTCAATATCTCTATGATGACACATTCATTGTTCTTTGGTAAGGAAAAACAATTTATTCATGTCTAGTTTTCATTGGAAAAAAAGATACTAATGTGTTCTCTATGCTTGCATTCTGCTTGTCCTTGATCCGAAGAGGGCACTATGAACTCCGGCTTCATGAAAATAACAGGTATTTGAGAGCTCTCGAAGAGGCAATTGAAAGGCTAGCTGAATCGGTCGAGGATGGGGTTGAAGCAATAAGACAAATTCGTACCTTTATATCCTATGAGAGAAAATTTGATGGAAAATTAGCAAAGGGTGCAGTAGGCAAAATGCCTGCAGGTAAATTTTTTAATCATGACTGTCTCAAATTTTTGTATGCTCCTTCTGAACACATCATGTACCTCTTATTTTTTTGTATGCTCCTTATGAATATATCATGTATCTCTCATTTTCAGCTGATTGGTGGGTATTATTTGGTGGTGATACACCAGAGCTGCAGAAGTTTGCCATTCATATTGTTTCGCAGTGTGTCTCATCTAGTGGGTGTGAGCGGAATTGGAGTACTTTTGCACTAGTTCATACAAAACTGAGAAACCGCCTTGGTTATGAGAAGCTGCGAAAGCTTGTGTATGTACGCCACAATTTAAAGCAACGTCTCAAGCAAGGTGTAGGGAAAAATCAAACAGAAGAGAAAGAGGCTGATCCATGTGCTCTATTGATGGATTGCACATTATTTGATGAATCAAACCCAATCATGAATTGGTTGAACAGGCCAAAAATTGTAGATGATGATCTTTGTCTTGAAGAATTGCTTGGTCGGTCAAAGAAGAGGAAAATTCTTGCTCTACAGAGGGCTAATAGGAGGAGAAAAGGTAAGAGGGTTGTTGAAGATGAAGAAGACTTTGTAGAAATTGAAAACGACACAGATGATAGCAGTCCTCATGGCAGCCCTGCTTATGCAGAATCTGCTGATAGTAGCTCAGCGAATGACACAGACAATGAACCAGAGCATAGGGATGGTAATTACTCATGTGTGAATTTACTTCTTTTCTTTTTGACCAAAGACAAAGAGGCTAATGTGTTTAATTATTTCAATAGGTGATACTCTGGGCACACACCAACAATTTGAAGAGCAACCAGAGGACGATAATCGAAGGGGACAGCGTGCTAGGAAGAAGAAGAGGGTTGAAGGATTTCTCTATTAGCTATGTGGTCTTTGTCTTTAGATTTTAAGTATGGACTGTCTCTGAATTTGAATTATGGACTTTTGATCTCTTTCGGACCCCCTTTTATGAATTATTATGGACTTATCACTTATCTATGTTCCCAGTTATGACTATGAAACTATGAACTGGACATGCGTATGTTCTGTGCCTGTATTGTATGAACTTGTACGTGTTATGCCCTCCTGTGGACTGTGGAATATTGTATTTGTGGATCTCTTCTCTATTTCTAACTTAAAAAAACATTTTTTCTAATTCTGTGCAACGAAAATTTGCCCGAAATTTCGTCCGAAATTTCGCCCGATTTTTTTTTTAAAATTTCGGTGATTTCGGCCAAAATACACCTAAGTTTGAACGTGCAGGTTTACACGAAATTTTCGAAATTTCGGTCGAAATTCGTGAAATTTCGGGTTTTTTGGTCCTGGCCGAAAAAAAACGCAAAACGAAATCCAAAACCTTGGCTACACACTCCATCTCAACAACCGGCTAAACTGCTTATTACAGCTGGTTCATACACAAACACAACGATGACGCCAAAAACGTTCAGGGTTCAGTATGTACGGTATTCAGCCGTTTGCCTTAGCACTGCCAAAGCTAGGACAATGTCATCGTTGTGTATTTCAGGCTTGCTCCCGTGTACTCTCTCCGTCTCATGAAAATAGACGCTACGAGACTTGTGCTGATCAAAATTTTTAAGTTTAACATTTATATCTCTAAATAAATTTATTAAAAACTAAAAATGCTTAACCTTTTTAAAGCAAGAATGACTTTTATGGACGGAGCGAGGAGTCCTGAAATGTTTCCGTCCCGCTGGCCGCTGCCGCGTAGTCCACCTCGCCTGCCTCTCCACCTGTCACCAGAGGTGTGAAGGGCACCTACTAAGCCTCAAGGGCATTTTCGTCCATCCGGAAAAATCTGAAACTGTAATCGGAAGTACTGTAACCGTATAAAATTCTTCTGGCTTCCTTTCCTGCTCCACTTCCTCCGTGGTGTGCGCATTCTGCACATGTTTCCTTCTTCCCTGTTGAGTCCTCCCGCCCCCCTCACGGTCACGGCCTCACCTCTCCTCGCCGACGGAATCAGAAGCAGGTAACCCCTTCTTCCACGACTCTCACTCCTCCTCATCCACTCATTTAACCCCTTCTTGCATCCACTCGTTTCGTTTCTTGTTCGGTATTAGTTTTACTTCCAGTCGAAATCTGCGCCCGTGGACCGGCGTCTTTCATGAAATCGGTTCGGGAAATGGATGATTTTGTGGTGATTTAGGGTCTTGATTGGACAGTTCATCAGTGGGGGTTCTGTTTCTTGGTGATGAGGATCGCAGCCTAGGAACCAACAAAACTGATTGCTGCGTGTGAGCCTTTTCATGTCTTGATAAATTCTCGGGCACTCGAGTTAGACAAAACTGTATTATTGAGAATTAGGTCAGTAGTTCTACCATGAATGATCATATGGATCTTTTTTATGTTTTTCAACTTATCAATATTATACAACTACAACCTTCGAGGCATGAACAGTCCTGCTGAATTTCTTGGCTGATCCTTTATGAGCAATATGTAAATTAGTTCCCCCATTTCCTCTGAGCTCATTGTTGCTCACGGCCGGAGAAGTTGTATTAATTATTGTGGATATTTATTATTGAGGTAGTCTTCAAAAAAGGACAACTTTGTTAGTGTGATTCAGGACATTTGTTGTTTTTGTCAGGATTGCTAGACAGACATGTGGGTCATAGTTTCTAGATATGTGTTAATGTGTGATTCTCTGGACAGGGGCTTCTGATTGATCATACTCATGGCGATGATGGTGCCTGATCTTAGTTTCTCAGCATCAATGTCTAGTGTGAAGCTCCCAAGGTACGGGGCAGCAAAGAGTGAGACATTCTTGGTTAGGAGGTCCCCAACATTCCGTGCAGAAGCTAAGCCATCGGAATCTGGGAAATATGGTACTAATGGCCGGGCAACCAAGATGGTACCAACGACTGAGCTGAGGAGGACCAATGGTGGTGGTCATGTAAGATCGGGGACAGTTAATGGTTCTCCAAATGGCGCTGTCAATGGCTCGACCAAGGTGTCGGTTAATGGTTCTGCAAAGGCCATTGTCAATGGCTCAACCAAAGCAGTCATTAACGGTACTCCGAAGGTGGCTGTAAATGGTACTAGTCTGGTGAAAAGCAGCAAGACTTCCTCTCTTGTTAAGACGCAGAAGCAAATGAGATCCAAAGATGATCCCTTTCAAGAGGAATTGAAGGTTTTGCCTTCTGATGAGGGATTCAGTTGGGCAAAAGATAATTACAACTCTGTGCAGAGGAGCAAAGATATATGGTCTTTTGTGCTTTCTTTACGAGTCCGCGTGCTATTTGACAATGCAAAGTGGGCCTATCCTGGTGGATTCTCAGAAGAAAAGCAGGTATGTGTTTAAGATGTAGATAAAAAATTGAGTCATTTTCCTTCAAGAAAAAAATGAGTCTATAGCATTGTGATTAAAAAGAAGTTATCAAAGAAAAATTTTCTTTGCCAACTAGCCACCTCAAGTTTCCAATAAGTGTTCTATCTATAGGTGGAGTTTAGTCTGTTTGTAGTGATGGTGTGGAAGCATGATGAATTACATCACTTGGGGCTGCAAAAAGAAAGGATTCACTTTCTACTATACATATGGGTGGGCTAAAGGGTGGCTTACATCTTGCAGAAAGTTCGAAGGCGGAAAACTGCTTCATGGTTAAGAGAGCAAGTATTGCAGCTTGGCCCAACGTTTATTAAGCTTGGACAGTTATCCTCCACTAGATCTGATTTATTCCCCAGAGAATTTGTGGACGAGCTTGCAAAACTTCAGGTAATTTGCTTGTTTCAGATATGTTTATTTTATTTTTATTGTGATGAATTGGCATATGTTTCTGCTTATGTTGTTCCTGTTCTTTTTATTATACTGACATGATTCGTTTGTCCGTTCTTTCCTTTCTTCCTATTGATGGTTTTGTTTCAACTATCTGACAATGGCAAAAATGATCAATTATGGGACACAGCTGTTGTATTGTGGATTGAATAAGAGTCTAAGAACCAAAGCATTTCATATGAGCGATGTATAGTACTCATGTTTTATCCCTTTTTTCTGCTTTTATGCAGGACAGAGTACCTGCATTTTCTCCTGAGAAGGCCAAAGTTTTCATAGAGAAGGAAATGGGTTGTTCTGTTGATGTTGTGTACAAAGAATTTGAAGAACGCCCAATAGCTGCTGCCAGTCTTGGTCAGGTATGTAATCCTAAACTTTGTTATAAAAAAAAAATCCTAAACTTTGTATGCACCTACATTTTTTACCCAGTACCATTGCATACTTAGTATACCATAAACATATTATGCAGTCCTTTTTCTCAAAGATCTTCCTTTGTTTAAATCCTGTAGAAACTAGATGCATTGTCATTTAGCCCCTCTTGCAGCATTTGAAGGAAATGTATTATCCTCTCTAGTTAAAGTAAAACAATATATCCATGGTACTTAACTCCTGTATATGTCTAATCCTTTCCATATCATTGGTAACAGTTTTCATTTAATGCATTTCTATTTCATGGCAAATCAAAACTGATGATATTACATTATTGGCCTCAATGGCCCTTGTTTGGAAATAGTTTATGAAATTCAGTGCATTTGATGATATTTATGCTGCATTTTTCTGAAATCTACTTCCATGTTACTGTGTGTTTTATTTTTCAGGTACACCGTGCGGTGCTCCACAATGGAGAAAGAGTTGCAGTGAAAGTTCAGCGACCTGGGCTCAAAAAGCTTTTTGACATTGACCTGAGTAAGATATATACAAGTTATTGTTGTCTGTGATTAGAGAACTATTGCTTTAGAGGAACAGAACAAATAAAAGTTTAATGCATTCTATTGTTTTGATTCAAACCTATTTGATCGAACCTTCGTCTCTTACCCAGAACAAAAGGTGGATTTAATGTTTTTTATTTTCCATTTTTACTTTGCACACCAGTTCGTAAAATGATTCATAGTAAAACCTTTTTCCCTTTGGTTTCTTCCAGGGAACTTAAAGCTAGTAGCCGAGTATTTTCAAAGAAGTGAAACATTAGGAGGCCCTTCAAGGGACTGGATCGGTATTTATGAGGAATGTTCCAAGTAAGTAACTATATAATCTTCTTTTTGTACCGAACATAGATAGTCTACTTTGATATTTTATATGTGTTATATGTAGTCTACTTTGATATTTTATATGTGTTATATGATTGAAGTTTGCACTCTTGATAGTCGTGAACTTATATGATTCAACAAGTATGTAAGCAAAATGGAGAATATATTACAACATGTATAATGCAGTGATCTCAAAACTTTGATTATATAGGCTTATATTACTTTGGAAATTGGTTTTACTGAAAAATTCATTATCCTGATTTCTATGGTTTCAGAATTTTATATGAAGAAATTGATTACATTAATGAAGGAAAGAACGCAGACAGGTTTCGACGGGATTTCAGAAATATAAAGTGGGTTCGCGTGCCAGTATGTTTCCTGGATCTCACAATGCAATTTATTTTTGGGTTTTGATTCAGTGCCCCACCACTATTATACTAATAGCACATAATTCCAGGTATCATAATCAAACAAACTGAGATTGCATGCCTAGAAGAACAGAACATAATCACCATATACAACTCCCCTATTGAATTTTGCTTGATGGAGGCAATGCTATGGTTGTAGTTAAGCCTGCTCAACAATGAATATCACAAAATGTTGTATTAATGTTGGAACTGATATGGAAAGCTACCTGTTGGTTTATGTTGATTAGTGGTTGGCACAAGCAGTAAGGGCGGCTAACTATATACTTGGAACATTCCATAAAGGACTATCTATGTACTTATAAAATATTGTAAATTATAATCCACTTTAGTCATGGTGGAGCACTATGTATCTAGTTAAGACCAGAGCTATCCATATAATGGGCTTAGTGGTCGGTTCTAATCAATGGTTTCGATACCCATC